TTTAAGTGTTTATATATATTATATTACATTTTTGGATTCTTGTACCACATTCCTGCATCGTTTCTGAACATCTTTAGATTACCACTGGATTTAGTTAACGACAGACAGGTGTGTTCAAAGATCAAAGCGTTTTTTGTACAGCTCCTCTCCCCTCTAGCCGTGATGTCACCCACTCTAAGTCTTAACGAGCTCTCCCATTCATTCCTATGGGGCAAATGATCGCAGTTTTCTGCGATTTGCATGAAAACGGTTTGGCGAATCTCTTATAAAAGACATAGCAACCCGATCCCGGTCATTCCGCACATTTGTGCTGCTGTGATGTGTTTTTTGTGTGTTTTGTGTCAACGCTGCCGGACGAGTAGCGTGACAACATTTGTGGCGGAAGAAGGAGAATAAGATGAGATAAGTATGTTGAATACTATACTGTGTGTGGCTTCGCCAGTCACAAAGAACTACACAACTGTTGTAAGTCCTTACTGCATTTCTTAAATAGAATGCTTAACACAAAGGAAGGGGGATACAATACGAAACAACATTAATATGATGGATCTCTCAACAGTTACTCTGAAGAGGATTGACCTGACAGGGAACATGATCTCAGAGATTGAAGAGGGGGCGTTCTCCAAGCTAACCATGCTGGAGGAATTGTCTCTGGCGGAGAACAGACTGGTCAAACTTCCCATGCTCCCCGCCAAACTCATATCCTTCAACGCCAACCACAACCATCTCAAAACCAAGGGAATCAAAGCTAACGCTTTCAAGGTACAAATAATCATCTCTCAAAGTTTTTTTGATTAATAACATAACATACTTGGCCAACAACAAGATTGCAGAAAGCTGTACACACTCATTAAACCTGGCTGTGTTAAAACAACAATCAGATGCAACTCTTAACCTAAGTTATTTGAGTAATTGTTAACAAGTGAATCTTTATGCTGATAATATTTTTCATCTCATCATATATATTTAATGAATGTTTACTAAAATGTTAAAGCATCTATAAAAGTCACGACTTTGCTAGACTTTACAGCCAGGTATGCTGTTGATTTTTCAAGTAGACGTTCACTTTCCACACAGCGAAAGGAAAACTAATAAACAACTCAACTGAATATTTTTATTTCTTTGCTTCCCCATCAGAAAATGACAAAACTGGTCAACTTGTACTTGGCAGACAACGAAATGGAAGCTGTTCCACACATCCCAGACAGTGTTCGGACCCTACATCTACAGGTTTGTATATTTTGCTGCTAAAATAAAAATAAATAAATTGACTGCAGAGTCTTTGAAGGCTCTCCAATAGTGGTTCAAGTTGCTGTCTTCTAAATTGATTATGAAAAAGAATACAATCATGAATGTACTGCTTTAACATAATGAGCTAGACATAACAAGCTGTTACTTGACATTGTTTCTATTTCCTCCAGAACAACAACATCACTGAGGTCAACGTAGACACCTTCTGCAGGTCCAATGACACCTACTACCTACGGCCGAGCCTCAATGAGGTCCGTATGGACGGCAACCCTGTGGTTTTGTCCAAGAACCCGGACAGCTTCACCTGCATGAAGGTTCTGCCTGTCGGACGGTACCGCTGAGGCGACAGAAACTTTACTGTACCCCCTTTGTTGTTGATGGAGCAGTTTTCCCACAACAGAGCATTGGGGGATACCGTGTTGTTCTGGATTTTGGGGTGCTGGTCCCATAATGGGAATAAACGTGACAATGTTTTTACTTCAGCAAACCTACAAACAGTTTGTGAGATTGTCAGGTCAAAATGAAACCATTCACTGGACTGAAGGTTTAAAATGTAAGGACTTTCTCTACTCATGCATATTTCAGTTGTCGAGTCAGTCGAGTAATTGGATCAAAATCCCCTGAGAAGGGGTGTGAAAGCCTAAATATGCTCCAAACAAGCATTGCCGGACCATTTAAAACATTTGCATTTCAACTAGTCATGAAAGAAGTTTAAACCCTTCCAATTCACACTTCCGCACACCTGGCCAATCACTCTGTATGTGTTTGTCAGATTGTCTGTTTTGCCAACATAGCCTTTGATTCTGCCATCAGAAAAGGGGCTTAAGAAGATGTTAATACATTGTGCAAACAGTTAGTTTGACTATATCTGACAGATTAAGGCCAACTTTTCAGAAGACGTAAGACCAGTAGAACAACTGTATCCCCTAAAATGAGTGGAGAGGTGTAAACACCTCTACCTACTAACAGTCCGACTCATGGTTTCATTTTGACCTGGCGCTGTACTGCCTACATGAATGAAAGTACACAAACTCCTTGTGAGTTTGGACCAACACACACACATGCAGCAACAAGCAAACAGGCGTGCTTGTAACTACCAGAACTTATAGGTTCAAAACACAGGCCAATGTCTTCATATTCTTTGTGAAAATAATTCTAAAATGATTTTTGGATTTGTTTCCAAAAGTTACTTTAAGTCGTAAACAAACAAGATATAACTAAAACCTTTTGATATCTTTGCTGCTTTTGCTAACCTAATGAAGTCTCTTGTACAAGTGTTAACCCTTTCATTTAGAGGTTTTACAATACAATTAAACAACTCAATGTTGTATAATATTACAACAATTAAAATGTTTTCAAGCCTTATAAAGCCAGCTCTGTTTTCACCTTGCTCATTGTCGGTCATCAGGAATTTCATTTGGACAGACGTCAATGAAATATCAAAAATAATACATGACCGAATTGCAGTCTTTGATTATGTGTAATATTGGTGCTGAATGGCATTTCAAAATGTCCAGACTAAAAATATAGGCTGGCTTTGAGGCAAACACATAATGTTAAAAAATTGTAAACGTTTTCAAAACAGAATTTTAAGATGAATTAAGATGTTAAAATGTTTTTTCTTATTCCAATTCAAGTATGTTTTGCATTTAATATATTTTCTTATGACAGTAGTAGAAAAAGCTACAGTATCTTCAAAACTAGATTACAATCATATAAGTCATAAAAAAGGTAGATTCTGAAATGGCACTTAAAGGTGCAAAGAGCCTTTGAGCATTATTAACAGTCCTCTTTATTTGTTGTTACATTTTTGTCATACTATTAATCCTAGCTGATTCAGACAACCGTTACACTTAAATTGTCTTGGCATGCCAGCAGGATGAGTCTGTAAATACTTTCTCAGTGTTTCTTAGAAAAATACTTAAGTGAATTAATTGAACTTTCAACTATAGCATTTTTTTAAAAAAGGCCTCTTTATAAGGGCAACGGCCATGCAGATTTGTGCAGGCTTTCTTAAGTAATTTGTGACTTAGCTTCACCTTTTTTATTTATAGACTGCAGTGAACTGGGGCACAATGTATCTATGAACTATAGTAATGTGAAAATTACTCTTTTTTATTTTGTCTGCTTTTAAAATGTCTTGCTTGTGTCCCTAACTCTTCCCTTCCAGTAATAAAGATGACTTAAGCAATTATTACTGATGTGAATAAGACAGTGATGTTCAAGAAGATGTATGTGACATGGCTATGTTTTAAGATATTTTAATAAAGTCACACTTTTTAAATTAAAATATTTATTGAGTTATTGTTGCCAAATACAAAACTTTCAAAATCTTATTTCAGATTAAGCTATCATTTGTAAGTTGTATTTGAAACTACTTGCTGATATCACAATTTTAAAGCCCCACCAGGAGCACAGCAAAAACAGAAGTGCATTACACCATTGCCCATGACTAACTGTAGAGTGTGCTTGTGTTGTGCGTCTGTGTGCAGATGCCCACAATGGCAAAATGTCATTCAGTGATTGGCCACATGCTTTTAAATGTCTGTGGTCTGTGTACATGGCCAAGTTGCCAGACATCATCTGCAGTCCTTAAGTGACTGGCTGGTTAATGTTGCGGTTTAGCAACAGGAATGCAATGTATGAGAATTCTATGTGAATTTGTTATTCTTCTCAATACATGTTTATGTCTTTATGTCATTAATCATGGAAATGCCCACACTACAGCAGAATAGTTACAATGGGAATTATTATTTTTTCCATAATAACACTGAAGAAAACGCAACTAAAGCAAAAACTAGAGTTTAGAGCAAGCAGGCCACTTTGGAAAATGTGGGTTAATCTTCTTTCAGCACAGCAAACTTGGCAGAACTTGACATTCTTCAAGTAAACAGGAGAATGAGATCCATATTGCATCTGCGGCTTGACTTACCATTTGACATCTTGCTGCTACCCCTTCAATAAAGTCCCACTCAATATTACTCGATATTTACCATGTCGACATTGATTCACACAAACAGCACTTACCTTCATTTTCATACTCTTTTATCAGCCAGAATCCAAGCACTTTACAAAAAATACTGACTTTGGAGGTGTCCTGACTGATGGACTCAAATATTACAGGATGGACTGATCTCGTCCCCAACAAATAATGCAGAGATGTAATTTAGCAACAAGTAAAAAATGTTCCCTCATGTTTGTTATGCTTTTTGGGGTTTCCCCCTTTCCTTTAGTGTGTTATATAGGTTTTTGTGCATGTTAAATGGTCTGCAAAGGCTAAAATGCCAAAGTTCCCTCCAGAGGGAGTTTCTCCCCAACACCCTCCTCCCCTGCCTTAACGCCTCCGTTGGACTCCTTTGTTTACTTCCATAAAACATTAAGACATCACTGTGCAACACTCTATTGGCTAGCACTCCAACACATTGTACGTGATCGGCTAAGGGGCGGGACATCTCTAAGCGGATGACCAATACAAATATCAACCTGAGAATAAGCAAATGATGTCCTCTTTAAAAAAAACAACTAAAGAAAAGCTGTGGCCATATCATAAGGCAAAAATTCTGCCATGTTTCCCAAAAATGTGATCAGTGGTGTTAAGGGACAAGCACCAACCTGGTCCAATCCTCTATATTTGTTGTGAGGACCAAAATGGTTTATCATGCCAATACACACAAATGGTGGAAAGCAGGTGTGTGTGGGTAAGGTTGCCAGATTAAGGTCCATTTAGGTGCAGGTGTCTCTTTAATTACCTGGAAGTGTTGGAAGGTTCTGCGCCGGTCCTCACATCTGTCTGAGAAGGTCCTGAGAGTCCTGAAGAACAGCAGAAGGTCCCTGCTCTCCTCCACCCTGAAATGACATTGAATGCATCATTGACATTTTTTTTAATGGAATGTATTAGTTCTTCCCTCTCAAAGTTGATTATTTCAAATGTTGATCGATAAAATATATGCGAAATACTTGCGATAATGACAGCTTTTTCATTAAGTCATATTGAGTACTTTGACATTCTTAGAATTCAAAACTGCGGCTTATACATTTGTTTAGTCTTGGATCACGTTAGCAGAGTAGCAGTGTGTTCTCGAGAATGGGAAGGACGCACGGAAACCCCCAAAAGGATGCTCAAGGATTAGCTTTTCACTCAACAAACATTTTCATTCAGTTATGCTTTCTCGGCCAATGCGCCTTTTTTAATACAAACTACAATTTACCAAGGCAGTCAGTCTTTATTGAAAAGGGTTACATTTTAAGACTTTTGCCTAATTATAAGAACATTATGGACGAACAAGGTTTAAATCCTATGTAAATCACTATGCTTTGATACAAATGCATTATAATTATTACGATATTTCCATTAAGCATAACTGTGTTGTAGAGCAAACCAATCATTTACAAGCAGACCCATCCAAACTACCTATACAAAAACAAAAAAGGTTACGAAAAGGTTCTTCCTTATATGCAATATGCTGTATTTCACAATGCTATAGCAAAAAGAACATTGCTCTGTCTGATGAGTGAGCCTGGGATATTCTGTTACAGGTTTTCCAGAGTTTTCCATGGGGGCCCGGGGCTAGACGGCAGCTGGGTGAAGTTTCCAGACGACTGTTATTCCGCGCAGAGCTGATGGAAACATGGCTCACATAAAATGGAGCATTACCAAAAATGCAAAGAGAGTGAGGGACTGATCGTTGGTTTGATATTGTTGTTTTTAAGTGATTTGGTCCAACTCCTTGTGTATGATTCAGTTTGATTAAAGCTTCAGTGAACCAACTATAGTGGTTGCTAAAACCTTTTCATGTAGCGAGTTTGATGATGATTTGTGGGCTTTGAAACGTGGAAAATATAGGCGTATATTAGTTTATCATCCAAAATGAGCAGCTAAATGTTCTGGCAGCAAACCGTGGAAAAAAACATCAAATTAAAACAAACAACATTTTGACTAGAAGCTATTTTGGTTTTGATTGGAACAAAAACAAATACTGAGGTCAATACCCAGTCCTGCAGACATTAGGGCTGCAACCTAAAATAAAAGTTTTTGAGTAAATTAAAACAAATTTATGTTGTTGAATGCACATTCAGCTCATTTGAAGTGTCTTCACTGCTTCAACTGAATGAAAATTAATAACTTACTCCGATTTGGTGTTGTGATCATCTTTTTAGTATGGCTTTGTCTTGAACTATTATGCTCATTTTCAGGTTCATATTTGTAGTTTGTGCTTCTTCTGTGACATGTCTCCATGCTTTAATGTTCAATTAGGTCTTTATTTTCTGATACTGCCTGTGCTGCAGCACCTCTGTTCACCCTCTGTCTGAAACCAGAGCCCTGTCTGCTCTGATTAGAGTGCTAGCCTGACAGAAAAAACGAGGGGTTACGTATGGTAACCCTTGTTATATCTCTCACAGGCGGAGCCCTCTACTGGACTCTATGGGTACTACCCCTTGATCATATCATGCAAGCATTCATCCACTGAGACTTCTATAAACGTAGCCGGCCCCGGGGCGGGCCTACCTGAATGCGTGCGTATCTCACCGTATAAAAGGAGGCCTCGCCTCCTGACTGTCATCCTACACCTCTCTTCAGCGAGCGGCATAGGACCGACAGGGCCCCGAGTAGAGGGCTCCGCCTGTGCTTATATAACAAGGGTTACCATACGTAACCCCTAGTTATATCTCTCACAGGCTCCGCCCTCTATTGGACTCTATGGGTACAGTGGGCAGAGCCCCGATATATACACTCGCTGTCGTCCAACAACACCGTTCCACCCCACTGCCCCTGACCGGCTTTCTGGTTAGCAGCCGTTGCACCGCACCCTCCTTTACCTCGGTTGTGACCGTGGAGAAGTCTGGGCCGCGGCTGACAGAGCACACTCCGCCGCGCTTAACTTGCGAAAAGTGTGCTCGGAAAACAGTGCTGAGGGCTCCCCCCCCCCCCGCCCATAGGCAGACGGAGAGAGTCCCCAGCCCTGTATGGGCTCACTGTGCACCACCTCTCCCGAGTCCCTAAGGAGCACGGGGAGAGCGCAAGTGCCCCATGTCCCCCACACTCAGACACTGACCCCGTGCAGAGTGTATGTGGACTATAGTGTGGAGGGCTCTCCCCTCCTGCCCCTAGGCAGGGGAGGAGAGCCCTCCAGTGCGCACTACGTCCCCCGGGACCCCCCAGGGGGCCCGGAAAAACGTAAGCGCATTACGTCCGGGGAGGGGGTCAGATGCCCACTGACCCACAGCCCCCCCCCCACCTCACCAGTCCTGTGTTGTCCCAGCAAGTACAGACGATGAGAAAGAGCCAGACATGTCCAAGAGATAAAACGTTATGAAGGGGCCTGACGTTGACCAAGACGCCGCCGTGCATATGTCCTCTACACTCACGCCGTTGAATAAGGCTGTTGACACAGCCACAGCCCGTGTAGAGTGTGCACGGACCCCCGCGGGGCAGGCTCTCCCCGCCTGTCCGTAGGCATGTACAATGCACTCGCAGAGCCATCCTGCCAGGCGTTTCTTGGACAGAGCTTTCCTGGTCACCCCGCCCCCAAAGCACATAAACAGCTGTTCAGTGCGTCTAAAGGCAGCCGTGCGCTCTACATACCATGCTAGCGCACGCACCGGGCAGAGGAGGTGCAGTGTAGCTTCCCTGGCCCCACTATGGGGTGGAAGACTAAAGCCCCCTAACTGAATAGCCCTCGACCTGAACACACTCCTTAGGCTCTTGGGCACAAAGGAGGGGTTCGGCCTGAGTGTCGCCCCGCTCTGGTCACCCCGGGTCAACAAGCAACTTGGGTGCACCAATAGAGTGGTTAACTCGGACACTCTCTTGGCTGACGTTAAGGCAAGTAGCAATGCTGTCTTCCACGACAGTGCTTTCAGGGAGGAGAGCTCCAGAGGCTCAAATGGTTCTGTGACCAAAGCCTCGAGCACCAACCGCAGGTCCCACTGCGGGGCGGAGGCATGCACTACTGGGCGCAGCCTCCTGACCCCCTGTAAAAACCGCGACATCGGTGGCTGACTAAAGGCTGACCTGCCACCAAATCCCTTATGGCAGGACGAGATGGCTGCTGCATACACTTTCACTGTGGAATGAGCCAGCCCTCTGTCCACCAGTAACTGTAAGTAGGACAAAATAGAGCCCAACTCACAAGATAGGGGCTCTATTCTCCGCTCCTCACACCATCGCTGGAATCCCAGCCACTTTGGCCTGTAACAGGCTGTGGTGAATCCCGCTCTAGCTGCCTGGATAGACTGAATAACTCTGTCAGACAATCCACCCTGTCTCAGCCTGTCCCTCTCAGGAGCCAAGCCTGGAGAGGTTGGCCCAGAGTGGATAACGCACCTGCCTCTTGCGACATCGCCCCCCAGAACTGGGGAATCGCCCAGGGCTGGCCCACCTTCATCTGTGTCATCTCTGAGAACCGAGCCACTAGGATGACTGACAGATGTTCTCGCCTCACTCTCCCCAGGAGAGGGAGAATGAAACGCAGCGGTGGAAAGGCGTAGAGCAGCTTTCTTGGCCATGGCTCGTGTGCGAATGCGTCCACCCCCAAGGGCCGATCGTCGCTCTGAGCCATGGAGAACCTCTGCAGGCGGCGCATATGCAGTAACCCGAGCGGGACCACAACGTGAGCAGCCGCCATGAGACCCAGAGTCTGCATGATAGTCAAAGCTGTCACTGTTGCCCCCTGTCGCAGTCTGCGAACCGCCCGAAGCTGGGACGCGCGTCTGCTCTCTGGCAGGGTGGTGCGTAGCCCGCCTGCATCGAGCACCACTCCCAAATCCAACGCCTGTTGGTGAGGTATGGGGGTGCTCTTTTTCCAATTGATCGCAAACCCCAACTTGGTTAGGTGTAGGATCAATTGGGCTGTGCAAAACATTGCCCATTCCCTGGACCTGGCAATGACTGGCAATGTCCAGATAAAAGAAAACTCTCATGCCATGGGCGCGCAGCGGCTGGAGCGCTGTGGCCACACATTTGCTGAATGTTCGTGGGGATAGGGAATAGCCGAACGGCAGCCTGTTGTACTCGTAGGCTACCCCCTGGAAGGCAAAACGCAGATACTTTCTGTGCTCTGGAGCAATTTCTACATGAAAGTACGCGTCTTTCAGGTCGATGGTGGTGAACCAATCGCCCGGCTGCACTAGCCCCAGTAACTGTTTTATAGTTAACATGCGGAATTTTCTGCAGGCAATGCGCCGATTCAGGCTGCGGAGATCTAGAATAGGTCTGCATTTTCCTGTCTTCTTGGGAACCAGGAAGTACATGGAATAAAGACCCTTTTCTCTGTGCTGAGGGTGCACGACAGACACCGCCTGTTTTTGCACCAGAGCCTGAATCTCTGCCGAGAGGAAACCCATCTCCTCCTGGGATGCTAGATTTACCTCTCGTATGCCTTTGAATGGAGGCGGGATGCTGCAAAACTGGAGTGAATACCCCTGTTTCAGCGTCCTGTCCATCAACTTTGTTAACACACAACTGAGTTTCCATTCCCCATAACACTGTGTTAGGGGACAAGCCCTCAGCTGTGGGGCCCCAGCTATAAAGCTGTGGTACTCCCTGGTGACCCGTTCAGCCGCAAAACTCCACGTGAAGGGAAGTTTTGCCCATGGAGGGTCGACACAGAAAGGGCAGATTTTTTACTGAGGTCCCTGAACGCACCGCCGTGCGCTCACACAAGAGCATGCGGCGGTGCGTTCAGGGAGCTCAGTAAAATATCCGCCATAATGTCCCCTTTACCCCTACGGTAAACTGCATTAATCGGAGTCTTTACTCTAGGCGTAGTGTGTTCCCTGACAGTAATACGCCGGCCATAATGCCCCTGTACCCGCATAGTGCCTTGATAGCACTTCCTGCGGTTTAT